CTGTAACATAAATAAATTATAATCAGAGTCTAAATACCTTAAGAACCTTAGCACATCATTGGCACAAAGGCGCTCACTTATAGAAAAATTAACGTTAAGAGCCTTCCTGAAAGTTGCATGGCCAATTTGATTAGGGATGTTGGGGATAGCGGCTAGAGGAACTGTCATTGTGATAGATCTTCTTACGCCAATGTTAAAAATAATCCTCAATGTAATTTGCACTGGAATTCCAAAGCAAACCATGGATCAGCTAAAAGCTTAGACCTTTGTTTCTTTCTTCCATACCTTTAACTATGGTGAAATTGCAATTCCTGTTGAAATACCTTGCATGCCAATTCAAAACTGAGAAAATTGTGTATAAGGTTCTGCAATCCTTGTAGAGATTGCTCTGCTTTTGGAAATATCAATTTCCCAATAGCCAATGAAAATTACTGATACTAATCAACGTAATATCAAACATCGCTTAACAGACAACTAATACCCTAAACTTAACAAAAGGAGGTACTTCGACATTAACAAATTGGAATATTCCTTAGATTAATGTACTTCAAAAATTATTCAGCTCAGCATAATTTTTTCTTGACCAACTCTCACCACAATGACTCTATGTTCCTTTATGTTCCAAAGTTTTCGTCAGTTTTGTTGCCTTTTAGAACAGAAAGCTAACTCTAGTATTCTACAAAATTGTCTTTTTCTACTCATCACAGCAGTGACTGCTCTGTCCTTCCACACAACAATAATTTCTCGCACTCCCAGTGTCTCCAAAGCAATTGATCCTTTACTGAGAGCCAGGGTGAATATGTATGGAAACTATATCTTGATATTTCAATCGGGTTCATGTGGAGTTCCTTCCACAGTAGTAGCCACATCATTTGGGTCTGTCTCTGGGTAGAAACATTTAATATGACCTCACCACTCCCCCTATACAAATTCTACTTCACTTTAATTTAAAGGAGACCCTTTAACACACAGCTATTCTGTAAAGTCCAGCATTTGTAACCCCTGCCATGTTTCACAATCTTTTACTGCACCAATGACTTCCATTTCTACTATATTGCATAATGATGCTGAGCTGCAACTGTTATTCATCATCAACAAATATTCATTCAACTGCAGTAAAACCCTTGTAATTTCTCTTATACAATGCAACATCAAAATATAAAAAAAAGTATACATTTGGTATTCTGTTTCATGAAGTTTATAAGTTAATGAAGTCAAAAGTTTTGATTTCTGTCATGCAATGTCTCTTTGAAAACCTTCTGGCCCATGGAAACCAATTATATTTAAATTCTTGAGTAAGTATAAATTAATTGTTGGGATTAAATCTGCAGAATAAACATGTAAAACTAAGCAAGGCACCAGGATATGTGGAGTGTAGAACAACTGTACAATTAGCAAGCCCAACTACAATTCCATATGGCCTGAGGTGTTTGAATTACAGCACACACGCGTAACAGGAAAACAGTGATGGAGGGCTTCTCTAATTGGACAGAGCTTCAGTTGGATAGATGGTAATGGGAGTAGAACTACCTGCTGAATGAAGACTTAGCAAGTGTGTGGAACGGTGAAGGAAAATTGGAAGCCTTCTGAGACTGACCTGGTGAAAGAAATGAATTGGATGGAGTTTGATTAAAGATAGATTTGGTAAAATTACAGGGATAATGAATGCAACAATTTTCTATATGGTTGGGATTTAAAGCTTGAAGCAACTTCTTTTGTGGAAATTCAATGCTATAAACAACTATTACAAGCAGGCGAGGAAGGGCGATTCAGCCCTTTTGTGTTAACCTCCTTTCGGACAGTTCTTTGCATCTATCTTGTACATCAATTAAAAGTACAGTTAATGAGATCAAAATAAAACCAATCACTATGCTTCCTTAAATGCTATCCCTGAGAAAATATAATCAAAACTCTATCAAGTACTCACACAAACACAGGTATTAAGTTTAAAAGGGAAAGAATAAGAGCCTTACAGTTTAAAGGTCCTTAGAGTCCTTTGTTATATGTTTTCATTTTGAGGCTACAGCTGATTAAGTGTTGGCTGGTATTCTAACATGTAGCAAAGGTTGTAGATATCCTTGAGGTCTTAGTGAGTGGTTGTTTTCCCCGATTTTCAAGATGTTTATCTTCTAAAATGCTAACAAGGAAATAGAGAGAGAAAGACATTTCTAATCCTTGTTGTTGCCAATAATATTCATTTTTCTCTATATCGTTACTCAAAAAAACAGCTACTAAGATTTGGTTCATTTGTTAATTCCCAAATCTGGCTCTATTGTCCTTCCAAACTGGTTAACTGGCAGGTGAGACTTTTATCTCACAGTATATGAAGTTATAAACAAATGTGAATTAAGACAGAAGATACAAAGTTCTTCATGCAAAGTTAATTGCCTGCTTTTTTCAACAGATACAATCATAATTTTAGTGCAGATGATTTTATTATTCTGCCTGAGTCTCCTGGACTTGCCTCAATCTATGATCAAGTGATCACGTCAGCCATTTTAGATCAGTATTTGTCCTTTCCTTTAAAACTATTTTAGTCTCAGCAATAATAATCTGATGATGGAAGGTAACTTTTGATGCTCCATATTTACTACTATTGCAACACAATGATATAGCAGTTAACATTTTCAACTATACACAAGAAAAATACACAGCCTCCATTTGGAAATGTGATGATATGTCTTTCACTAACACACACCATTCAATATTTGAGGTAAAAATCAAGTGAAAAGTATGTGTGTGTGGTTGGGGGTTGGGGTGGATGTGGGGATGGGGTTGGGGAAGAAGGACAAAGTAAAGGATTGGAAGAAAGAACCAAGAATATTTGAGTGTACTGCAGTACTAGAGTGACATGAAAGTAAATAACAGTCAAGCTAAAAGATGAGGGCATATGTAAAACTACTTTAGGGTTTATTATTTTCTATTATTTCTTGTGTTTTTGTGTTTGTGCCAGTACATCTCCATAGAAACTTCTTTTGAATATGTGCTTACAGCTTGATACATCACCTCAGAAAAAGTTACAAGCATAACATGTCCTAGTTGGTTTTGTGTGTGTGGTTGAGGTACAATAGATGTGACTGAGGATGACAATTTTTCTGCTAGTGTCAAGTTTCCTTATACCATACACCAACTACCTGCACTTGTGATTAAATCCTGACAGGGCTGAACAAATAGGAAACAGGGACGATGCTTCCCCTGGCTGCATCACAGTCTCAGGATATGTGGTAGATTATTTCAGACTAAGATAAGGAGAAATTTCTTCATTCAGTATTGAACCCCTACCTCAAAATTCTCTGGAATTCTCTGTCAAAAATGTGTCAAGGCCAGGTCATTAACTATATTTAAGAAAGAAATAGATATATTTCTACAGGCTGAAGGTGTCAATTGTATTGGGACACAGTGGGAGTATGATGGTGAGAAGGAGAGGATCAGCCATGATTATGTTGAATGACTGAATAGATTCAATTGGTGGAGTAGCCTACTCCTGCTCCTATTTTCAGTGTTTCTATGTATAACCACGCAGTTTCCCACTAACCATCATCCCAATCCCTCAATATTAAATTGATCAAATTAGCATTGCAAAGTAAAGCCTTTCAAATAACTTTATTCTCTAGATGCTCTTTCAGCCTCAGTTAAACATCTATTGTCAAATCATTTCGCTCATCACCTAATTTATTTTGTGCTGAAGTGTTCTCTCCTCACCTATACATCCTCCTTCATATCTCTCTCCACTATTGGGCTTGTTCTGCTGTCTTTTTCATCTGTACTCATACCTTGGTATTCTGCTTTATTATCTCTTAAACCTTTCCATTTCTGTAGAATATTCTCTGTCCATTTTTACAACTTTTTCTCAATCATTTACTTGTCCATCATTCTACCTTCTCTCTTTTCATCACTGTCCTTTTTCTTTCAGTTGCCAATTCACTCAGTCACCTTTTTAAAATAGAGTAGGATTCCTACAATCTGAAAGCAGGCCATTCGGCCCATTGAGTTCACACCAACCCTCTGAAGAGCATTCCATCCGCATCCATCCCCATGCATTTCCCACGGCTAACCCACCTAGCCTGCAAATCTCTGGACACTATGGGCAATTTAGCATGGCCAATCCACCTAACTTGCACATCTTTGGACTGTGGGAGAAAACCAGAGCATCCAGAGGAAACCAATTGTCAGAAGAAATGAAATTCAAAGCCATACCTGTCGTCTTGGGCTACAGTTTTCTATAAGTAATAACTACTCATTTAGGAAAGATGCATAGAAAACTAATTCTGACAGGAGAAGATACTTAGCCCATCCATACTTCACTCCACTTTATTAATTCCTTAATGCCTTTCCATTAATTCTGAATCCTGATAGAAACCTTCCAAATTCCTTCACGAAACTCATTACAATTTCTTCTTTGTATGTAATTTATGCCATGTACATAACACGGTTTTAATAGAAACTTTCTACTATTTTCTTTTCTAGGACTAGAGTTATATAAAAATAATCAGAGGGCAAAAATAACAAATTGACAGTAAATGTGTGGAAAATAACATCCATCATCTGTCGGTACTTAATGACCTGGAAATGTTAAACCAATATCCCATCTACTCCCCAGTTCTTGTCCTTTAGAGTATTCACCATAAAATACCTTGCCCATAAGCCATGTTATTTTGAGAAATTATTTTGGGAAAGAAGGGAGTATACTTGACACATGTATATAGGAATTGTGGAAGACCAATAATAATGCAAGAGTTTTGTAAGGCAACAATTGCAAAATTAAACATCATCTTTTTATAGGCTATGTAAAAGAGACATGCCTCAAAATAAAGATTTCAAACCCATAAAACAAGCTGGTTAAGGGGTTAAGAATAGCTTTCTGGAAAATTTTGGAGCATAAATCTGACTGGGACAGTGTGAGAAGAAAATACACCAGCTGGAAACAGGATAATGGGGAGATTAATGTGTGTGTTGAAGCTATACACAGTAATATTTCCTCTTTGCATTCTTTTGATCAGAACTGGTTTAGAGGCCATCATGGAGACATATGCCTTCTGGAGACCTCCTGTTCGGACCCTCACATTTGAGGATTTTACCAACATGCAAAAGCAACAAGGTAATGTTTACCTATATTTTTCATTTTTTCCTGTATATGTTACAGGAACTGTTTGATTACCTCCTAAAAACAATGACATACTTGTTATATAGCACTGTTAATGTAGTAAAATCTAGAATTAAGAGTCCATTGACAATCATTAAACTGTTGCCAATTGTCAGAGAGACTCACCTGGTTCGCCAATGTCCTTTAAGGAAGGAAACTGCTATCCTTACGTGCTTTAGTATACATGTGGTTCCAGACTCTCAGCAATGTGACTGACTCTTAACTGCCCATGGGCAATTAGGGATGGGCAATAAATGCTAGTCCAGCCAGTGATGCCCACACCCCATGAATAAATTTAAATAACCCAAGGTGTTTGACAGGAGCATTATTTAACAAGATTTATCCCTGAATGACATAAGAAGACAAGAGGACCTGTGACATGAAGTTTGGCTTAAAGAGGTAACGTTTAAAAAGCATCTTAAAGAAGGAGAGAGAAGAAGAGAGTTGGAAAAATTCTGTGGACTTCCCATTATAGCAGCCTCTGAAGGAATTGCCTGGGAAGTTGAAGATTCTGCTGGCCAGTTCCCGAATGTCTGGAAGACTCAAAAGTATCTACTTACGTAAGAGAATGTGGAAGATTCCAACAAAATTAAGTAAATGTACTCAGGAAAAGGTAGACTATTGAATATGTAACGTGCCTCCTGAATTATTGGAAGGAGTCATGGTTTAGAAGGTTAAAGGACCTATGAGGAAACTGGAGATCCGGAGCTCTCATCTCACACTTGGCTATCTCCTTTTAAATAAACTGGGACATGTTGTAGAAAATTTGAAATCATATGTAAATAGACTGATATCACCACATTTGCTTTAAAAGTGGTGTCTTATGGTGCAGTGGTAGTATACCTACCTCTGTCTAAGAAGTCCGGGTTCATGTCCCACCTCCTCCAGAAGTGTGCATAACACATTCAATCAGGTTGATTAAAAAAAAAATGGAATTCCTGAGTCACTGTTAAACTGACTCCAACTTCCCTAACAGACCCACAACCACACCTCCCCAAGACCATATGTATCTCCCAGACCCAGATCTAACCCTCTTCACCCCTCCCGCCAGAAGCTGACCCCTCTCCACCCCCAGGAGACAACCCTCTCCACCCTCCCTGATCTGGATTCAATTCCCCACTTCTTCCACTCCGGATCCAGTCTATCTCTGACCCTGACACCTCCCCTGCCTCTGGACCTGATAGAGGCTCCACTCCCCTGCCCCCTCTCCCACACCTCACCCCTCCCCTTACCACCTTCCCAACCTGTCTGTTCTGATTTCTCCTACCTACCCAAAACATTGTGTCAATTACCTGAGTCCCCTAGCATGCTGCTCATGGGCACCCCTATTCTACCCACAACATCCTACCCACCTGGCCTTCTACCTAGCTGGCACCTTGCGTACCCTGGCACATGAGTGAACTGGCATCCTCACCTCTCAGTACCCTAACTCTCACCACTTTATCTACTTATTGTTTGACAGGAGCTGTCACTGCGGATGTCAGGATCTTTACATTTCAGAAACCAGTGGCTGACTGCTGTGAAAAGGGTACATGATTTGCCTTCCTCTGATAGGTCTAAGCAATGAAAGAACTGTCAGAATGGAACTACACCTCTGGAGTCTCCTTTCAGAAACATGGGTCTCTCTCCTATCATAAAAAGGAAGGAGCATATATTGCCGCTCCTCACAAAATCCAGCACATTGTATTTAATAGTCTAACATTTCCTGAGTAATTACTTGCTTAATGTCTTCAGAGTGTTTTGTGTTCTCTGACTTAAGTGGAGACTTTCAGAGGGTTCCATGTGTACAGGAGTAGCCCAGAGGAACTTTAAATTTCTTGAGCAATTGCTTTTGAGTCTGTAATACTAGGGATTCTGCAGATTCTCCATAGGAAATCTGGGCCTTAGAGTCATCATGAAATTTTAGTAGCACACAGGAAGGCCACTCAATCCATCATGTGTATGCCAGCTTGCTGGTAGAGCAATTTAACTAGTCCCATTGAATTGTTAAATAACTATAGCCACAATTCTTTCCACTTGAGATTGGCTTTCAACAATGAATTGAATAACAGTTAAACCTGCCTCCAAAAAGCTTTCAGGCAGTCTATTTCAGAACTTAACAACTTGTTATATGAAAAATGTTTTTCTCTCCTGTTGCTATTTACTTTGCCAATCATCATGACATCATAGCCTTTGTACTTGGTGCCTTTATTTATAAAGTCCAGGAATCCCTATACCTTTTTAACAGCTTCCTCAATCTGCCTTGCCACATTCAGTGTCTTGGTCACACATACCTACATACATCTGTCTGTTCCTGATCTCTTTTAGAATAGCACCCTTTATCATAGAATCCCGACAGTGTGGAAGCAGGACATTTGACCCATCGAGTCCACACTGACCCTCTGAAGACCATCCCACACAGACTCTCACCCCTCCCCTATCCCTGTAACCCAACTTATCCCATGGCTAGCCACCTAACCTGCACATCATTGGATTGTGCGAGGAAACTGACACAGACAGTCATCTGAAGGTAGAGTTGAAGTTGAGTCCCTGGTTCTGTGAGGGAGCAGTGCTAACCACTGAGCCACTGTGCTGCCCCTTCTTGTTATTATATTATTTCTTCTTACCAAAAACAATCACTTTGCACTTCTCCACATTAAATTTCATCAGCCACATATCTGCCCATTCCACCATCATGTCTATGTCCCTTTAAAGTCTATCACTATCCTTCTCACCGGTCACAATACGTTCCAATATTGTGTCAACTGCAAGTTTTAAATTCATCAGCTCTCATCAACCCTCTTCTTTATCTCATCATAACACTCAGTCAACTTAGTTAAACCTGAAATGCTGTGTACCTAGACATATTGGCTTTGCTTAATTAATCCAACTTCTCCAAATATATAGATGATTTGGAGTTGGGGACCACGTGTAGGGTGTCAAAGTTTGCAGATGACACTAAGATGAATGGCAGAGCAAACTGTGCAGAGGACTGTGAAACTGTGCAGAGGAACATAGATACATTGAGTGAGTGGGCAAAGGTCTGGCAGATGGAATACAATGTAAATAAATGTGAAGCCATACATTTTGGTAGGAGTAATAGTAAAAGGATTATTACTTGAATGGTAAAAAGTTGCAGTATGCTGCTGTGCAGAGGGACCTGGGTGTCCTTGTGCATGAATCACAGAAGGTAGGTTTGCAGGTACAACAAGTAATTAGGAAGGCAAATGGAATTTTGTCCTTCATTGCTAAAGGGATTGAGATTAAAAGCAGAGAGGTTATGTTGCAGCTGTACAAGGTGCTGGTGAGGCCACACCTGGAGTACTGTGTGCAGTTTTGGTCTCCTTACTTGAGAAAGGATGTACTGGCACTGGAGGGAGTGAAAAGGAGGTTCACTAGGTTGATTCTGGAGTTGAGGGGGTTGGCTTATGAGGAGAGACTGAGTAGATTGGGATTATATTCATTGGAATTCAGAAGATTGAGGGGGGATCTTATAGAAACATATAAAATTATGAAGGGAATAGATAAGATAGAAGTAGAGAGGATGTTTCCACTGGCAGGTGAAACTAGGACAAGAGGGCATAGCCTCAAGATGAGAGGGAGCAGATTTAGGACTGAATTGAGAAGGAACTTCTTCACCCAGAGGGTTGTTAATCTATGGGATTCCTTGCCCAGTGAAGTAGTTGACGCTACTTCAGTAAACGTTTTTAAAGATAAGGTAGATTTTTTTGAACAATAAAGGAATTAAGGGATACGGTGAGAACGCCGGTAAGTGGATCTGAGTCCACAAAAAGATCAGCCATGATCTTATTGAATGGCGGAGCAGGCTCGAAGGGCCGGGCGGCCTACTCCTGCTCCTAGCTCTTATGTTCTTATGTAAATGACTGTTAATTTGATCCCAGATTTATCATTTCTAAGAACTTTCCCACCACCATGGTCAAACTGACTGACCTTTCTTTACTTTTCACACTTTTATTTTTCATAAGGATGTAACATTTGAAATTTTCCAGTCCTTTAATGCCGTTTGGTCCATATTGCTATTGGTAGATTGGAAGGTTATAGCAAGTGCCTCCATCATTTTCATCCATAATGTACTTGGCATCCCATTTAGCCTGGGTGAAATATTCATTTTTAAGTATAACAACTCTTTTTTTCTTATATTCCTCTTCATCACTCAGCAATAACCAGCTCACTGACCACTCAGAGACAACAAGGTGCAGGGCTGGATGAACACAGCAGGCTAAGCAGCATCATAGGAGCAGAAAGGCTGACGTTTCGGGCCTAGACCCTTCATCAGAAAAGGGGGAGGGGAAGGGGGTTCTGAAATAAATAGGGAGAGAGTGGGAGGCGGATAGAAGATGGATAGAGGAGAGGATAGGTGGAGAGGAAACAAACAGGTCAAAGAGGCGGGGATGGAGCCAGTAAAGGTGAGTGTAGGTGGGGAGTTAGGGAGGGGATAGGTCAGTCCAGGGAGGATGGACAGGTCAAGGGGGCGGAATGAGGTTAGTCGGTAGGAGATGGGAGGTGGGTTGAGGTGGGAGGAGGGGATAGGTGGGAGGAAGAACAGGTTAGGGAGGCGGGGACGAGCTGGACTGGTTTTGGGATGCGGTAGGGGGAGGGGAGATTTTGAAGCTTATGAAATCCACATTGATACCATTGGGCTGCAGGGTTCCCAAGCGGAATATGAGTTGCTGTTCCTGCAACCTTCGGGTGGCATCGTTGTGGCACTGCAGGAGGCCCAGGATGGACATGTCGTCTGAGGAATGGGAGGGGGAGTTGAAATGGTTCGCGACTGGGAGGTGCAGTTGTTTATTGCGAACCGAGCGTAGGGTTTGGGTTCTTCCAGGACCACCCAATTCCAAGTGTCATTACAACTTTGGTCCAAACATGGACGAAAAAGCTGAACTCAAGAGGTGAAGAAATGTGACTGCTCTTGACATCAAGGCAGCATTTGACTGAGTATTGCTTCAAGGAGC